TTAATAATAAACTAAAATTTTTCTTGAACAGTACAAAAATTATATTTCGTTGAGTCATGCACCTAGTGTTTTTTTAACAAGCTCGTTTTGTATTTACTTGTAATTAACCACGGCGAAGGTGACTCTATCTTTGAGAATAGCTATTTTACGTCAATTAGCGATAATTAACGTCTGATTACGAGCTGATACGGAATGACTGTGCACGGGTAATTTCAGTGTTACAAAATATGAAAATTATATAGCAGTGACAAATAAGACAGTGACATATGGTCGTTTAAAATACACGTAGATATAAAGAACATTTATGAATAAGTTAAAAAAGATATGCATGAATAAATGAAGAACTACGCTGTACGTACAGTATTCCCTTTGATCTTTCTAGCATTTGTTGCGTCTTCCATACAGTGTGAATTCTCTTAAACGATATTTGATATTCTTTTGTAAAATTAAGAAAATATTGACGCGGATGCTAGGAATGAAAAAGATATTTTTGGACAGATATTTACGGGCAGGAATAAGTATAGGTATATGCCACAGAGATACATATATATGCACATTGAATATTTAACAGACATACTAGATGTAACTAACGGAAGCCAACGGCACACGATACTATTTTTACTACTGGATTGCTTACGAAAACCAATAAGGATGCAGAGTTTTAAGCCAACGGCACACGATACTATTTTTCCTACTGAATTGCTTACGAGAGCCAATCAGCATGCAGAGTTTTCGATTAGATCGAAATTTGACCAATTAGAGTAAAAGTCACTAAACCTGAGATCGGTAAACTTTACTTTGATTGGTCAAATTTCAATCTAACCTCAATCTCAATCCGTAGTCTGATACGGGCTTAAGACTAAAGCCAACGGCGCACGATACTATTTTCCCTATTGGATTGCTTACGAGAGCCAATCGGGATGCAGAGTTTCCGATCGGGTGAGACTCAAGACTAAATCCTGATTGGCTCTCGTAAGCAATCCGGTAGGAAAAATAGTATCGTGTGCCGTTGGCTATAACTCTCTGTCTCTTTCTCCTTAAGCCAGGCATTTTTCTTACAGCTTATTATAATTTACGACGCGTGTATTAATGTACTCGCGCATATTTCCCACGCACTTAAGCCCGCTGCTAATAGTCCAAACGCGCGGGTATCTAAACGTAAGACACGGCACGACGTGAAAGCGCCCGTTCTCGCGCGATAGAAGCGCACACCTACGTGACGTATACAGCAAAGGAGAATACATCATATTTAATATAATATTAATACACGCGATAATACCGTTCAAATTTTGAATTTACCGTGAAAATTTCACGCGGATTGCTATCGACGTCCCCCACCATCGACGCGCTCGAGGGATCAGCGTCGCGAGGAGAAAAAAAAAATCGGACCGACGTCCATCGAGCGAGCGGACTCCGCGAATTCCCGGCCGCCGCGCCGCGCCGCGTCAGGGCGCAGAATCCGGAGTGGCGGACGCCGCCGACTGCGGACGGTCTCGCCGTCGGCACTCTGGGCGGAGTTCCGGCGGCGAGACGTAGACGCGCGCCGCCCAGGCGTGTACGCCCCTGATGGTCCTCGACGCGCCTTCGTTGGCGCGCACTCCTCTCCTCGTCGCCGCGCTCGCACACGCACTCGCGTGACGACGCGACACGTCGCGTCTCGGAGGAAGCGTCACGCGTCGCGTCGCGCCGCGCCTCTCTCGCCCGGCGTCGTAGATCGCAAGTATTGTATAATATCGAGAGCTCGCGTAATCTTTCTCGCGCCGCCGGCGGCGCGAAAACCTCCCTCCGTGTTGCCGATGAATTATACCGCGCTCTCGTTAAGCGGACTTTAAATTCAACCGCGAGTCAACCACGGACGTTGCTTTGATGATGCTTTTTTTTTATGTAGCCCGCACGCGCGTACCGTCATGAGTATGAGAACGATGGGATAGTATATTGAATTGATCTTTTCGCGGGACGTTAAATATTTATATCGAAAATGTATGCAAAACATATTTGTATCGGAAATATTTATTCAAATGCGATAAATTTATCGTTTTAATTGTATTTTGAAGTTTAATTATATGTCTCGGTAATGTATGTAACATTACGGGAAGCTGTTAATATTTACGAGGATAATTTCCGACATGTAAAACAAGTTTCCCTTCGTACCTATATTTGTTACATATTAATACGTTCGCGGCCGTACTGTAATAGCGCACGCAAACGAAATTTTTATGTAAATTATCTGGAAACAATAGACGCGCTAAAACGACAAAGAATAAAACTCAAAAGTGAAGAGGCAATTTAATATCGATTCTTTAAAATAATTTGTGTATGAAGGTAAGCTGAGGAGCCGAAGAACCTCTATTAACGTTAAACTATTTAAAAAATTCAAAGGAAATAGTTAATTTATGTATTATCTTGATATACAGTATTATGATAACACACTGTCAGCTAAAAGTACGGGGCCACATGTAAAATTAAAAAATATTTAAGTGTAGCATCACTCGAAAGTCTGATTCTTGTCATCCTCAATATTGCTTCTTAATTTCTTAGTAAGTAAATAGACATTGCATTTAGCACAACTGTGATTAACATAGCTCGTTTTCAATTTCAAGAAAACGAACTACGATCATGAACAGTGAACTTTCCTTCAAAACTGAGCTGTAGACTATACTAGAAGGTAAGTGAAAGAGTCTTCCGTCAGAAGGAAACAAATAAACTTGTAGCTAGATTATCTAGTCGGTAAAGGAAGTAATTAAGTGTAAGGATGGCGACATTCACGGGGATAAAATGTCTAACACTCCTTTAACCGAAAAAGAATTTTTGTGGGACTTTTAAACATATTTCTTTTTATCGCGGAAAAATGAGTAAGATAATAAAGATATGTTAAATTATAAATAATAATGAGTTTGATTTCATTTTATATAATAGATAATTTTAATTAATGGTCTGAAACTTTTGGCCGGTGTATTTATTTTGTATTATTTTGTTATTACGTTTATTTCATCGACTTCTCTCTTACTGCATCTGCTTTTATAAGATCCAATAAATTAGATAGATCTAATGAAGATCTAATAAATTGTTTTAATATTCTGCGTAAAAAGTGTTACGCATTCTCTACCATTTTTAATTCGCGAAAAACATAGTGTTTCATCATCGCAAACGTATTCATTAAAATAATGGCCTGCACGTGCGTTGATATTTCCTTCCGTCATAAAAATACAGAAAAGAGCATAAATCCTAAATTGACGATTAAATTCTAGAGCCAGTTTGAAACACTAGAGAACAAAATGGAGGAAAATTTGTTGTTAAACAGACACGCGTCATATACAAACTATTTGCTTTTTTAAAATTTTGTCTATTCTCTCGTAAAGTCTATTTTCTGATTGTATTTATATTTAGATCGGACGCACGACTATTTAATAGTAGTCAGTGAACTCTATCCTATACTGGAACACCCACTACTACGCTGGGAAAATAGTCAAAGTGAAACAGACAAATGGTTTATTTTATCTCTCTCTCTTAGTAATTTGATTGATCAACGACTTTCTCACTATTTCTATCTCACCTTGTACAAGTGAGATAGAAAATCAGAATTTACTAACAAGAGACAGAAATAGTACCATTTGTCTGTCTCGCTCTGGTCGAAGGAGTCTACTGCATTCGGCAATAGGTGTACAAATTTTGGACAATAAACGGCATTGACGAGGCAATGACTTGGGCAATACTGGAATATGAGATTTGCGTGTCAAAAAATTTCATAATTCTGAACCGTTCTAAACGAAATACGCACCGATCTACATAGGCAATGTAGGAAATAAAGATGATAACTGCAGAAATTTATTGCCATTTGCGGCAATAGGTGTACACTTTCTTTAAGTGCGATAAATCACTTGCTCTCGCCACTTTCTCCCCTCGTTTGACTAACGACTTCTGGTACAGAGTTCACTGATAGTGCGATGGATTAGCAGGTCTTATTATACATGAAGTAGTGTACTAATTGTAAAGCCGATCTGTTTCCCAAATTTGATAAATCCTCGGCGGACCTCGTCGGCGTTATTTGGCGATTATCTTTCTTCGATAACGCACTCGTATGTTCCGATTTTACGAAAGGCGCGGCATCGTATGATTCACAGACGTATAAAATGGGGGCGACAAAGAGTATACAGACTTTCTGAACTGAATTTCGCCGGGACGTGAAAATTTCTTCAATTTATTTTTACTTACGTACGAAGGAAAAAAGGCAGTTTTTTAAATTTCTATTTCTATTTCTATTTCAATATTCTTTTTTTTCACTCTACCTTTTTCACATATTTTCTCTCGTGTAATTAATTATTAATTTTTTAATTAAAAAAAAGATATTGCCTGCCATTCTCAATCGACGATGCAAATGGGTGCGTGAATACCTTTGCTACTTCTCTGATACGATTCCATTACGTAAGCTTTATCCGCGAAACTACTGATAACGCGCGTTGTCGCGAGAGCGGACGCCAGGACAGATCGACGTATTGATTTCATTTTCGTTTGTCGGCGGCTCCGCCGGGCAAGGATGTCGATCGCTATTTCGCGGCTAATACGTGACTAACGAGTGGTCGTTATGATCGACGATAAGATCGGTCGATCGCACATTCGGCGTTTCAATTCGAGATCATGTGTCATTCGTGAAACAGGTACAGACTTATCACGACTGCGGCTGTTTCTTTGTGCTTTTACCGCGGACGTGTGCCCCAGGATATAACACGATTATTCTTTTACGACTTAGATTATCGATCAATATAATAAGCGACAACAAGAAAGTCTTTCTCGAGGAAACACACCGACGAGTCTCTAAATCGGGCGAAAAATTTCGAAAAAATGAAAGATATGTATTTTAAAAATGACGATTCTGAAGCGCATCGTATTCGGCACGAAAGATTTTGATTAAGATTTTTTGAGGGAGTGACGAATCTTCCCCCCCCCCCCTCTCTCTCTCTCTCTCTCTCTCTCACAATGTCTATCGATTGTTTGTGTTTCAGAAGGCAGGAGCTCGCTCTGCGTTGGTTGCGGCGGTCGAATTCACGACCAGTGGATCCTGAGGGTAGCGCCTAATCTGGAATGGCACGCGGCGTGTTTAAAGTGTGCCGAGTGTCAACAGTTTCTGGACGAGAAATGCACCTGTTTCGTGCGGGACGGTAAAACTTACTGCAAGCGCGATTACGTTAGGTAAGTCACGTCGACGCCTATTTATTTTTTTCTTTTTCGAAAGAACCCCGCGCCGAAAAGTCGGACAGGGAAAAGCCTCTTTTGAGAGGTCGTTCAACCCTATAGCCGCACGAAAGAGAAAAGGAAAGGAAAAGATAAAAAGGAGGATCCTGGAGGCGGTAGATCCCCGGGGGAGTCACGGACGATTTTTCGAAACTGTTTTCACGGCGCGCAGGCGAGGGAAACGAGGCCAGAGATCGCTCCTCGGTTCGCGCTCGACACTTTCGTCCTCCGGCCGTGCGCCGTCGCGTGATTAATTCTCCGCGATTACGAGAGCGACGATTTCGCGCGATGACGTGGTACGTCAAGAGTTCGCCATTCGCCGGACACCGTCTCATCGTACGACGGTTAAGTGTCGCTCCTTAACGAACGAATTCCACGAAGAGGTGGAACAAGAGGCACTCGGGAGAGAGAGAGGCCCCCGGCCTCACGATCGGCGGTGCAATATGGTAATTAATGCAAAACCGTGCCTCTTGTCACAGCGGCCGCTACATTCTCCGGCGACACGCGATACGCTCTTTCCGATACGCATTTGCAAACGCCCGGATTGGGAGGCGAGCGAGAGGGAGAGGAAAGGGAAAAAAAAGGAAGAGAGAGAGAAAGATAGAAACGGTCGAGAGATTGGGGAAGGGGGGGGAGTGACAGGGTCGAGAAAGTCCGGGGTATTTTTATCCGAGTGTACACGTGGAGTGCGGCGCGCGGACGCACGCACACGCACGCACGCACGCACGCATGTCCGCGCCGTCACTGACGTTGCGTGCGCTGGCGCGTGCAAAAAAAAAGAGGAAGCGCACGCAATTATGCTCGCGCGAGCGAGAGAACTCGCGGGAGCTTAAGCTGCGCGAGTCGACGCGACGAGGCGATGCGTGGCATTGATCGACAACCACCTCGACATAGTGACGGTTATTACTGACGCCGCGATCGAAATAGTCGATCCATACGTAATAGCCGACGTAGCCGCGTCTGCGTGGCGCAGCCGGTACATGGGAAAACCACCGGACGTCTCCTCGAGCGCGAGTTTACCGCGGATGAAATGCGCTACGAGAAATATCGGACACGGCTTTCGATAGTTACGGGGTTAAGCGGCTTGAGGATTAAGCAGCTTCTGCCGACTCGGTCTCGAAAGTACGAACGAAGACTATACATGAAACGTCTCCTTTTTTTTTCCATTAATCTTCCCGGAGGCAAATAATGTAAAATTCACTCCGTATCGACTAGGGCTGTTACTTTTGATATCTTCGAAGTTCGAATTTAACTTCGAAGCTGCGAAACGTCGAAAAATTTACTCGTGCGAGTGGCGAATTTATTTGAGGAACCCTAAAACTACTGTAAATAAAAAGTACTTATTTATATATGTTGAAAAATAGGTAATTACTGCCAAATTATAATTGTTAAGTACCATAACATGTATATTACATATTTGTTTAAGATCGCGTAATTAAATCTTCAAAAGTAGTCAAGTAAATCAATTAAGTGTTTTTAATGTTCTTTGAATAAATTCGCCACTCGCACGAATAAATTTTTCGAAGCTTCGAAGTTCGAAGTTAACTTCGAAGCTTTGAAGATTTCGAAAGTTCGAATGCCGAAGCCTTCGAAGGAAATCACCATCGTCCTAGTATCGACGATGTGCGATCGATCGCCGAGACTTGGGTGTTTTAATAATAATTTACTTCGTGCGAATTTTGTAAACATATTTTCCTCTGGCAATCAACAATTGTTCGTTAATTTGCCACCTGCTAGTTCTTTTAGAGAGCAATACTTGAGTATCATCAGGATAATTGATACGGAATGCGTGTTAAGCGAAACGACTCTCAACGAATTAGTTTTCCTGGAGATTGTATTGCCCGATAACAATCTATTCCTTTTCTATTATCGGTTTTCTGTTCTCCGAACGGTGACAGAGTGACGGACGTACCTTAATAACGTGCTTGTAATCGAATCAATTATCATAATTGATTTTATAATGCTTACATTCAATTTAATGGGGTACCACTAAGTTAATTGAAGTTGTTGTATTCGTTTCGCTGTTACGCCACTCTCGGTACGGCGGAAATAGGGGACGAAATGTGCCAGAAGTGAAAAAGACAGCGTCCGACCCGCCCCCCCCCCCCGCACGCGCGGAGATTTCTCTCTTTCTTATTTCATTTCTTTTTCTTCCCACCCCTCGTCGTCCACGACGGTAATGCCGCCAAATAACCCATCGGCACGAATTCGACCTGGACCAAATATTTTTCCCTGCCGCGGCAGCGGGTTTATTTGCGCTGATCCGCCGAACGTCGGGACGTCGCCGTAACTCGAAGAAGACTGGCGTATCCGGCCGCGGACCCGAGCGACAGCGATGACGGCCGTTTGTTGTTGCTGTCGCTTTCGTTCAAAAGTCCAAATTACCAAAGTAACTCCCTCCTCATACGTTCTTCTGGGTGTTCCCGGCGGTAGCCATTTCCGACAGAAACGCCAACGATCGCGAGAGTGCCACGATTATTACACATGTGCAAAATAATCGTCAATATGTCAAACTCCTCGCGGCGGATTCGCGCATACGCACACAGTTGTACGTTTATACACAGGGTCTACCTAAACTGGCGAAAAGTATTTTAATGACAAGTACTTTGTAACATTCTCGGACAAAAGTTCCAATACGAGACTGCCGAGGCTGTAATAGGTTTCGTATGGGAAGAGTTCAGAGATCTTGAATAACGGGAGGCTAGAATTTCGCGCGAACAGGGATGGCGGAGTGGCGAATTTCACCGCGGAGACCGTCTTGACCAAATAAATACGACAACGACAGCTGACACGTGTCAATGTCGATTTGAAGTATTGAATAAAGACAATTTAAACTATTTTTATAATTCATTGTATTACACTTCACAAGCAGAAGTAGTTCTTTAATCAAATCCTTGCACAATTTTCACAATAATTTCATTATTGTCAAGGGTTCAAGGAAACACCTTTGCTACTGACCACTTTGCCCACTCCCTGGGCGCGCGAAATTCTACCCTCGTTACTCGAGATCTTTAAACTCCTCTCATTTGAAAACTATTATAGCCAGGGCACTTTCGCGTTAGAATTTTCGTTTAAAAATGTTACGAAGTTACGAAAAAAAATTGGAATAACATAAATTATTATACATTCGTTTGTTGTCCAGCTAACACAACACTACACAGTCTCGCGACACAATTTGGATTCCGTTGGAACTTAGGGCAACGAGCCACGTACCCCTAACCGTCGGAAACATGCCTACCAATCTCTTTGGACTTTCCACATAACAATTATTTCATCGTACCTTGCGATCGACATACCTCTATAATATTATACGTAAAAATGTTACTGTTTCGGAATACGCGACATATTTCATAATCACTCGTCTACGTAACGTCGGAATTCAATTCGCGATTCTTCATCCTTACAGTACACGGAAGGCGGCCTGGTTGTCAGGTCGAAACGTTTGTACTGAATTTGTTTATAGAAATAGAGGGAAAACATTTTTTCAACACGCACGCTGGCTCGCTAGCTCCTACAATAATATTCTTGTTATATTATCGAACCTTTAGTATTGAAATAACAATGTAAATTTTATATACAATATATTTTTCTAAATTGCGTGCGATATCCCGAAATGGGAGTATCGGTTCGTTTAATTATTGATTTGTTTTGCAGAAACAGGGAATATTAATTTTAGCTGAAGTTATGACGAGCATGATTACGATCGCGCCGCGGGAATACGCGGATAATTGCTCGCTCGTAGAAGATGCATCTCTCGACGCGCGCGAGGAAAGTTTATCGACTTTGAAAAATAAGCAGTGGCGATGGGTTAACAATAGAAACGTCTATTATACATCAACGCGGTCGTCAATTACGCGACGGGCAACCATTAATCCCGCGTTACACCACCATCAATTTCATTCACATTACCGCGAACTTTTTTTTTTCAATTTCACGATGTACATTGGACGTTTCGTTATATCCTTTATTGTATACGTTTGTGTACAGTTTATTTATCGAATTTATACATATACATATGTGCATGTATATGTATTATGTATGCATATATATATATATAAAAAAGCTGGCCCTCAATGTACCGCGCGCAGAAATAAATATACAACGCGACAATAAATTCACTTTAGCCCGATTTATGTTTCTCCACTTTGCATTTATCGGATTTAGAACACAGCTTTTTATTTCCAGCTAAACTGAAAATGTTTACAACTTCGCGATGTGATAAAATGGGAAGTAACAAGGGGCGGAAATTTATCAAAAAATAAATAAAACGTAAATAATGAAAAAGTAATGAAAAAGTTGACATCGCGATGCTGCTCGATGTTAAGGCTGGTCTACAATACATGGAGTAAGCTGGAGTAAGGAGTAGGAGTAAGGAAATAAATCCATTTTATTTCTTACTCCTACTTCAGCTCTTAGGCTTACTCTCGGTAAATCAAAATGCCATCAATCAGTGTTACAATTATTTTAAAAATCGTGCCCGTATTTCAGCTTCCTTACACCAAAAGCTAGAAGTTAGGGCTCTCCCTTACTCCTTACTCCACGCTTACTCCACGTATTGTAGACCACGCATTAAGCGTGGTCTACAATGGCAGTAGGAGTAGTGGATTAAAGAAGTAGGCGTTAGACATAGGCTGTAGGAATAAGGTCCCTTTACGCCCGAGTGTCTAT